TCACTTAGGCCTACTTTTAATATCAAAATGGAATGAATTAATCTCAGTCCAGCTTTTATTTTTACGGTGTATGCAATATTTATGTATTCATTTATTTTTGGAAACGTCTTCCCATGTGACAGTCCAGGTGCAGTTAGCGAGGTGGGGCTTGAGGTCATGGGCAGGTTAAGCCCCCCCCCACCTGACGCCAGGCCTGTAATAAGGTTAATTCTAAATGAACCACACTACTGTTGCTCACTCTCCTACACACCTCTGCATAAAATGGGCGTTTGGTCATATGCCAGTAACATAAAATCAATCCACTCACAATTCTGTGAGGTCACACACTGAGTCTGGAGCGGGATCAAGCTGGATTTTTTTTGCTGTTGGTTTATGGGCTTTACATAACATAATTATATTAATCTGACTCCAGCATAGCAGTGCAAGAAAATGCAAATGCTGGATCTGAATGAGTCTGAATGAACATAAATCCAGTGCAATGTAGAAAATCATTTCATTGTGTGTGCTTGAGAGAGAGATGCACAGACTGAAAAGATTTGATATTATGTGCCATAAATCTGATATAAACTCTTTTCAGCTTAGATTGTTTATAAGTCACCCATGGACTGTTTCATGACCATGTGGCCATGTGATATCTTCAGGGTACAACAGAAATGTCCCAGTAGAGATTTATTTTCAGTACTCTGTGCTAATAGATCGAGACTCGTAAAAGTTCACATAGCTGCTAGCAAATCCTGAAATATGGAAGCATTTTCAGCTGAAGGCTTTCTGTATATTGGTATATATGTTATCTATGATGGGATAAAATGAGAATGACAACAAGGAAATAGTCTGTCTTCTTACGTAAAAACATCACATCCGTCCTAATACATCAGCCATGGAAAACATCTGGGCATAAAAAAACAAAAACAAAAAAAAACAACGCTTTGCTTTGGGCAAAAATGGAAAACTTATAAAGGAAGTGATGTTAAAAATCAGTCAGTGATGCGCAAGTCGTTTCCAGGGGCAACGAGGGCAGCGGGAGCGTGGGGAGGAAGTGCGGCTTTGGCGATAATGACAATGGGCTGTTTGGAGAGAGACACAAACAGCATCAACCCAACGTGGACCAACAGCAGCTGGAAACTGGCAAAAATATATATGATTAAACTTTAAAAACACCATAGTGGGGGTGGCGGGGGGCATCTTCAGATCTGCTGTGCTCTTTTTACAATAAAACCAGAGGACTTTTTTATTATTTAGTAGATGCTTTTATCCAAAGCAACTTCCATTTTTTTTTGTGAAAGCAGAGTCACCTGGAGTAATTGGTGTTTAAGGGCCCGAGGGTGACATCACACTGCCGACCCAGGGACTGGAGTCACTGCCCTTCTGATCAGAGACGCAATCTCCCAATCTGCTGAGCCACACGGCACCCCCTTTAAAACCTACAGATTGAAACAATGTTTTCTTTAATCCCGTGATCCATTCTCATGCCCATTATAGGATTATGTTTCATTAAGTCTGGAAAAGGCATCATCTGTTACGTCCACTGCGGCAATCAAGGTGACGGAAGCCGTCTCAGAAAGAGCAGGATGTCGGCTGGCGGATGGGGTGGCCCTGCTGGTGACACACTGGCAGAAACCAACTTAGTGGCTGCTTAGGCCCCGGCGGCCAGCAGGGGGCCCCTCACTTGATCAGCCTGTCAGAATGGGAAGGAAAATGGCAAATGACAACTAGCTTAATCAAATTTTGCTTAGGGCCCCCAAAAGGGTTGGGCTGGCCATGGTCGCTGATCACTAAAATTCAAGAATTGGCTTCTGAGGACAGCGGAGAGAAACTTGCAGCCCCGGAGCTAAGGTGCCAAAATATTAAACAGGAAGCAACAAAGGCTGCTGGGGGAGGCAGCCCTTCCAAATATTTAATAGGGTTCCTAATACCTGCATCCAAGTTTCCATAAACGTCAGCGAGAACGGCCTGTTCATCAGAACGCACATCCATCACTTTGGCTGCCTGCTTCAGCAGGCTACTGTGGGCCATGTCTCTTCACCGCTTTATTTCTGTGGACTAAAGGGGCACGGAGATGGGGAACACAGTGTTGCACACATACCAGGGGCCCAGGGAGGGGGTATCTGTGGCAGAGGGCAGTCCCCCCGGAGAGAGGTGCTCACACTGCCCAAAACGAGGGCACGCTAATCAGTGCGAGGGCCTCCCTGAGCACTCCTGTGTCTCCCAGCTGCCCGGACCCCTGACAGAGAGATACAAATGAGCATCGTGAGGCCACAGGGCGCAGACCCAATTACCGGGCTGGGGGCCCCTACCATGCCCCCCCGCCCCGCCGCATCCTCTGTCACCAGAGCCCCGAGAGCAGCGAGAGGCCCGTGCCAGAGGAGCACGTCCCACTTCCCCCGCTGAGACCTCGTTTCACCCCAAGTGCGGCCCGGGCTTGTTGCTATGGCAACGTCGGCCAACTTCTGCCCCAAAACGTACCTGGCCAGCAGCGGCCCCCAGCCATCCACCCATTCATGCTCTGCTTGTTCGCAGCCTCTGCTGCTTCACCGTTCGACCCTCCCCCGATCTCTCGGGGTGCTAGCTAAACACACCGGAATCATTTGCAAAGTTGTTACAACAACAAGTACACATTGATCCGAAACCAGGAGCACAAATCACTTGTGGAACATCATCAACTCTTCATTCAGCTGCTCTTAGCATCAAACCTATAATCGGTATGGTGCTTGGCAGGAACATCGGCAGGGATTCTGCACCCCATAAAATTATACTGAGGATCCAGCGCAGGGTAATCCAGTTATTGCGCAAATTTTTCAGGGCCTGTCATTTGGGGGTGCTTGGAATCACCCAAACTTTCCCCCTGGCTCTCGGATGGTCATCCTTTTTGCTAGTAATACATAACTATATATTTTGAGGACGTGGTAGATAGAAAAACAGCTAATATAATCATAAATATATGTGTTATAGGAATCGTCTCACACTGTCTGTAATAACAGCTTATTTAAATAATACATGCGAAAATGATCACATATGGTTCAAAATTTGAAATCTATGATGACAAGTATTAAGGAAATGAGTAGGAGAGTGAAAAGTTATATAAAAGATATTTCATAGGTTGACAAGCACATTAAAGTTTTGAGCAAAAAGTGCATGGTGTTTTCAAGAAATGTGCTTCTAAATTATTTTTATCTATGATTCCTCTCAGTTGAAAGTTCTTTTTAACATTTCAGCAGAAAGAAACCTATAGAAATCTATGCATGCATCCATCGTCCACAGTCCACATGGATCCCTCATTATAATATTTCAAATATATAATATGTTCCAAATAAAGGACTATCTAACCCAGTAATAGGTAACCCAAATAACTACTGGTTCCTAACATCCTTTCAAGTTAATGTTGTTACTGTTATGTCCAAATTTGTCCAGCTTTCAGAAGCACTTTTACATGCACTTTTCAGGTATATGTACTAGGAATTTGGTTCTGGTTCCCATTACCACCGGCCTTCTGGACATGCTGGAGCTCCTTCTGTGTTACTTTTTTTTGGCCAGCTTTCCTCCGGCTCACCAAGCTGCTCACTGCCCCCATCCACAACACTGCCACTCTCACATGAATAATAATCGGCAGGAAAGGAAGCGGTTATGCTGTAATTTTACACAGGCCAGAAGACCCAAGGCCATTACACAGCAAGCGATTTAGTCATTAAACACTATTACTGAGGGCAAAAAAGACCACTTCAGTAAGAGGATCCTTCAAACGACGACGGCCTCTCACCAGACTGCTGAGTAACGAAAGCTAGACTTTTCAAAAATTGGCAAATGCAAAATTTAAAAAAATGGCACGTCTAGTATTTAAAAAAGGCAATCTGTCAAAAAAGGTAGTTCACTTCATATTTATTAGAAACATATAGTTTAACTGGGAACATTTACATGGAACATTTTCTTATGAACAAAATGTATTTTTTGCTGCATTGAAGATAATGAATTACAATGTATAAAGATGGCAAACACTAAGGATTTCGATGATGCTGTATTAACAGGTGACAGATTTTCTCATATCTCAACCCATCCATCCATCCATCCATCCATCACCACTTACCCAGCTCATAGTGGACCTGGAGCCTATTCCACAAGGCTGGGGACACCCCAGACAGCTTATATTTATGTACACAATTGTGGTCATTTGGATTTTGAAATAAGTATATAACAAAGTTATATCATACACTGTTAAGACGTTAAATGGAATATATTTCAAGCCATGAATGTTGTCATTACCCCCACATTACAAATGAGGGCAGCAAACCCACTGCAAAAGCAATTTTGAGCGTCTGTTCCAATTCAGTCGGCGTTCTGTCTGATCCCGACCAGGCCGCCGTGTCCCAAAGGAGCCCTGAACGGAGCCCGGTGGCTCTGACACAGCGAGGATGGGCAGGAGGCCGGCTATTAGCGCCGTGCGGCCTGGGCAGAGATGAAGAGCAATGGGGCGAGTGAGGAGCCATAGCCGCGGGGACAGAGAGAGCGACGCTTCCTCTGTGTGCTTCCGCTTTTTTTCTCAGCTCCTTCTCAGTGCGCCGAGTGCTAATCGATTCGCCGCACGCTGAAAACGCTAAACGCACACGGCATGCACACAGAGACGCACCGTGTCCTGCTTCCCCTGCTACTTCCTCACAATCAAACCCACGCTGCCGTCGGCCCATGTGATTCCCGGGGCTGGTTGCTTTCATGCTCTTTGTCCTCCCATACTGGACTCCCGATGGGCACACTTGGTGTGGTGCCCCCCGCTGAACCATGAACAGGCAGACCAGTGAAAAGATGTTTGACAGATCTCACCAGACCACTGACGCCGCCTTGGTCCTGCCCATTGGTCTCCTCGCTCTCTCAGATCATCACACCGCTTCTGAGTCCTACAGGAAGCCAAGCATGAAGCCTCCACTGCCCTCACAGCGCCCCCTTTCCAGGTCTACAAGAAGCTCATCTGACGGTTCAGCAGACTGGATCAGTTAAACCCCTGACTGGGGCAAGTCCAGTCAGGCCCACCATCTCAAGCTGTCTTGGGCCTATGCGTGGGGGGGTGCCCATATGGGAGGGGGTGCACCCGGTTGAAGTCATTTTGTCCCAGGCCCAGGAGTAATGCATGACAGGTCTGGTCTTGTCACAGGTTCGAGGTGGAGTTAGAATGTAGGGGAATGAGATGTGGGAAGCGTGGGGGGGCAGCAACAAGCTGCATGCCCCCCCCGGAGCCGCTGCCGCCCCGCCGAGCGGAGGCGCTGAGGCCCAGCAGGCTGCGCACCGCCGCACGGTACCGAGTGGACATGGTGTTGTACAGGATGGGGTTGATGGCTGCGCTGAGGTAGAACAGCACAAAGGAGACAAGGTTGAAGTACTGACTGATGTAGTACATGTCCGGGCTGGAGCTCAGAGACATGGAGAAGAGGGTGCGGCCCACGTGGAAGGGCAGCCAGCAGAGGACGAAGGCCAGGACGATGACCGCTGAGCGAGAGAGAGAGAGAGAGACAGAGAGAGAGGGAGGAGAGAGCGGAGGAGAGGGTCGCAGAGTCAGGCAGGCTAAGCACGGGGGAGTGAGAAGGAGTACGTTGGAAAGGCAGTCATCAGAGAGGAGGAGGAGGAGAGCGGAGGAGTCAATATCCCACTCCAGACCCAGTTAAACTATATGTTTCTATAAGCTGCCAAAGCAACAATGGAGCAAACTCTGCTTGTGTGCCCTCAGCCCTGCACAAATCTCCAAATCCATCCCTCTACCCAGCAACACCCACACCTCATCCATCTGAAGCTCAGCCCTATACCCAGCATCCTTCACTTCCTGCAAAATGGTGTCATCACATCAGACTGTTCTCTCGTGGATTGATAATTTTACTTAATTAGTAGATGTCTATCCAATGTGACATGAGACTAAGAAGGGACCAATCACAGGAGCACCTGGGGTTAACAGCCTTCCTAATGGGCCCAGTGGTGAAATGATTCTGTCGACCATGGGAATTGAACCTAACCCACATAGCCACACACCACCCCTGTGTGTTTGTTTTTATCAGATTGTTTGGCTGCAATATATTGATTTTTTTTATTTCAAATTGCTACTTTTCAGCTCCACTTTGGGTGAGATGTGCCAGTATGCATACAGATGGTTAATAGGCTGAAGCTCGCCAACACATGCACACGGAAACTGCTATAAATGCCCCAGCTCTCTTCCCATAATCCTCTCTGGCTCTCCAGCCCCATCAGCCTGGTCTGCTTACCCAGCATCTTGACGGTCTGGCGGTTGGCCCCGTCCCGGTGGGCACAGCGCCGCCGGTGCCACAGCCTGCGGGCGATGAGTCCGTACAGGAGGCTGAGGCAGGAGACGGGCACCAGGAAGTACAGGTTGGACAGCCACATCATTGTACCCAAGAGGCCTGAAGCCTTGGCGTACTGCGTGCAGCGGCACTCGGCCCCGCCGCTGTCGTCCAGCTGCTCGACACCCACCAGTGCGAAGACGGGCCCGGCGCTCAGCAGTGCCACCATCCACAGCACCCCGATAAGCGCCTTCACCTTGCCACGAGTCACCAGCACCTTGGCGTGCAGCGGGAAGCACACGGCCAGGTAGCGTTCCACGCTCAGTGCCGTGATGTGTAGGATACTGGCGAAGGTGCAGCCCTCGCTGAGGAACTGGGACAGCTTGCAGATCACATCACCCAGCAGCCAGGGCTGGAAGTTCCACAGCTGGGAGCCAGCAGGGTGAGGAGTGGAAGGTAGAGATGGAGAGATCATGTGGGAAAAGGGAGAGATGGAGAAAAGGTGGAGGAAATCTGGGTAAGTATAGATCGAATAAGGCAGGAAAGTGGGAAATCAAGAAAATTGACAAGGTTTAGAGTTAATGGGATTGGTTTTACACTTAAAAAGGACAAAGAGAGAAGTATAGAATATGAGCGATCACTAGAGAACAATATCCAGGATAAGATAAATAAAAATAAGCAAGAGGGAGTTACTTTGTAGAGGTCAATGGGCATGTGCAGCAAGAGGGAGTTACCTTGTAGAGGTCAATGGGCATGTGCAGTAGGAGGGAGTTACCTTGTAGAGGTCAATGGGCATGTGCAGTAAGAGGGAGTTACCTTGTAGAGGTCAATGGGCATGTGCAGTAGGAGGGAGTTACCTTGTAGAGGTCAATGG